GCACACACAGACTTGTTCCAGGGGAAAGACTTGTATCAGGGAAGATCACAGAATTTGTTACTGAGGGACACAGCATAGTTACTCAGGGAAGCCACAGACAATGTTAGAGAGCGGACACAGAATCGTTTACTGACGAGGACACATAAGTTGTCTACTCGAGGACAACAGGAATTGTTACACCAGGGACACAGAAATTGATACTGAGGGACACACACAGACTCGTTACTGAGGGACACACACAGAATCGTTACTGAGGGAACGATAGTTATCACAGGACGCATTGTTTATAGGGAAGACACAGAATTGTTACTCCGGAGGGACACAGAATTGTTATGACTGGAAGGGACACTAGAATTGTTACTGAGAGGACACAGAATTGGTTACTGAGGGACCGAATAGTATTGGGACTAGAACTTGTTACTCAGGGACAACAGAATATAGTTACCACAGGGACACAGAATTGTTACTCAAGGGACAGCAGCACAGCGCATTGGAGAGCCAACACAGAATAGTTACTCAGGGACACAGAATTGTTACTGAGGGACTCAGAATTGTTACTTCGCAGCAATACGTACCAGGACACAGAATTGTTCTCAGGGACCAGACACAGAATTGTTATCAGGGACAGAGACATTTGTTACTCAGGGACACAGAATTGTTACTCAGGGACACCCCAGAGAATTGTTACTAGGACACAGAATTGTTATGTCAGGGTGACACAGAATTGTTACTCAGGGGACACAGAATTGTTACTCGCAGGGACGACACAGAATTGTTACTCAGGGGACAGACAGGGACAGAATTGTTACTCAGGAGGGACACAGAATTGTTCTGTTACTGCAGGGACACAGAATCGTTACTCAGGGCACAGAATTGTTACTCAGGGACACAGAATCGTTACTCAGGGACACACAGAATTGTTACTCAGGGACCACAGAATTGTTACTCAGGGACACAGAATCGTTACTCAGGGACACAGAATTGTTACTCAGGGACACCAGAAATCATGTTACTCGGGACACAGAATCGTTTGAATTAAAGAGTATGTCAGACAACACGCAGAGGAGTGGCAGAGGAGGCAATGTTTTCAGGAGCGAGCAGACGTGGCAGCAGAGGAAGGGGTCGAGGCAGCACTAGTCGCGCAGCCAGAGGCCAGTGCTCCGGTGTCATCCAGCGGTCGTGTCTCCACCGACAACCCTGCCGTCATCGATTGGTTGGGTCGGTCGTCTTCCTCTTCCAGGTCACCTCTGACACCTACAGCCAACGGTCGGTGGGTACGTCAGACACAACCGTTAGTTGGCATGGCCCGGGAGCAAGCCCACTGAAATCACGTGTCCTCTACCTGCCCCTGTCCTTTGGTGTTCCCTCACCAAGCGAAGTATCGCATGCTGTGGGCTCAGCCCCACTGTACAGTGAGGAAGAGCTAACAGAGGGCGGTCAGGAACGGGGGGAGACATCCGCCTCTTCAGCAGCCAGGCGAAGAAGTACTGGCGAGGAGAGTGGCTCGGTAGCCGGTCTAGAGACAGGTCTGTCTCCTGACCCACACGCAGCCGAGGGGGCTAGTAGTGAGGCGGAGACCCTAATTGATGATGATGAGGCTGATCGCACTTGGCAGCCTCGTCGTCATCAGGCTATTGCTTCCGCATCATCAGGAGAAGAGGGTGCCAGCTTGGCAGCGAGCAAAACAGTCGGTGGGTTTGCCCAGGAGGCAGCAGGGTCGCAGCAGTGTCAGTGGAGGCAAACGGCCACGGAGTAGAGCACCAGCTCCACTGCAGCCTACCACCACGGCCAGTAGTGGTGCCGGTGTGCACGGAGGAAGTAGCAGTCAGCCAGTGAGGAGTAGCGGGGGCAAAGTTTCCTACTCGGCGGTGTGGCAATTTTTCGTCAAGCCGCCCGAGGAAGTAAACGTAGCCGTTATGTCGACTATGTGGCCAGAAAGTCAAGCGTGGCCAGGGGGCCCATGTTGGGACTACAGCGTTGCATGTCAGCATATGCAGCGTCGCCATTCGGTGGCCTGGGAAAACCGTGATAAAGATACGGCGGTTCTGCCTGCCCCAGCCCCCGCTCCATCACCCGCTCCGTTACTTGCTCCGTCACCCGACGTCAATCGCCCTCTATCAGCCAGTCAAGGCTCCAACACCTCTGCTGAGGGGAGTTGTCGCTCGTTGGCATCTTCCGCTCGTTCAGATGCTCCTTCTCCTGCTACTCCTCTTCACGGATTCCGTCAGCATCTTTCTTGGAATCCGTTTCCAAGAGACAACAGTTTGCGAGCACGCACCCGACGGTGCAGAAGCTGAACGTCCTCCTGTCCAAGTTGCTGGTGCTGCAGTCCCTCCCTTTCCAAGTGGTGGACTCAGCACCTTTCCGAGAAATGATGGCTTGTGCGCGCCGCGGTTGGAGAGTGCCAAGCCGCATTTCTTCGCCAAAAAGGCAGTGCCAGCCCTGCATTCACATGTAGAAGAGATGGTGGGCCAGTCTTTGAGCATGTCGGTCTCTGCCAAAGTGCACGGCAGCGCCGACGTGTGGAGCTGTAACTACGGTCAGGGACAGTACATGTCATTTACGGCCCACTGGGTGAACGTGGTGCCGGCACAGCCGCACCAGCAACTTGGACAGGTCACGCCGCTTTTGCCTCCACGTTTGCACGTCCTTGGTCCAGCAAAGATGTCCGCCTCTACCACCTCTTCTTCGCCGTGTCCTCAGCCGCCACCCCGTGCCAAGTCCATTACCCGACCGGCATCTATCACATGTGCAGGGGCGCAACGGTGTCACGCTGTGCTGCACCTGGTATGCCTTGGCGAAACGTAGTCACACAGGGGAGGAACTTCTGAGTGTAAATGAACACAGAGAAATCGACAGATGGCTGTCTCCGCACAAACTGAAAATCGGAACCATGTTGACCGACAACGGAAAGAACATGGTTTGTCTGCTCTGCGTCAAGGAAGGTTGTGCCATGCGCCATGCAATGGGCTCACGTGTTCAATCTGGTTGTCAAGCGGTTCCTAAAATCCACCATCCCCCACTGCAAGACATCCTTAAAATGTCACGTAAAAACTTTGCATGCATTTCAGCCATTCCTAACACCGCAAAGCAGCACACCCTCCTTGAGCTGCAGCGGCAGAACGGAATTCCACAGCATCGCCTGATCTGCGACGTTGCAACAAGGTGGAATTCAACCCTACATATGTTAGACCGCCTTTACGAACAGCGAAAGGCCTATCACCGATTTCCTGATGTTACAAGCGGATAAAGGTACTCCCCCTGTGTAACTTAGATGTCAGCCATTGGCAGCTCATGCGTGACACCTGCCGCTTGCTCAGGGCCCCTTTGAGGAGGCCACGCTATTCGTGAGAGTCGGCAGGACTATGGGATGAACGACGTCATTCCCTCTGTTGCACGTCCTGGAACAAATGCTGTTAACAATGGCTGGTCAGGTGCGGTAGAGTGGCGCACAGATGTCAACGCCACATGAACCCCCCTGTGGGGGCAGGTACAGGAAGAAGAGGCGGAGGTAGAGGAGAGAAATGTTGTGCGTCAGTGAATTATTGAAAGTGAAATGGGTGGTTTTTCCACTCATGCGGACAGGAGTGGCAGGCAGCAGGAGCATCTGGTAGAGGAGGAGGAGGAGGAGACAGAGGGACCCAGACGCAACCGTTTAGGGCAGTATGGCTGTGGAGATTGGAGCATGGGGTAGTCCCTCCGCATTCCTTGGACCACAAATGGCCCATAGCATGCTCGGTTGCTTGCGTAGCGACAGCTTCGAATAATAACCATCAGACAGAGGGATGACTTTTGGCTGTCCACCTTGTTGGACCCTCGCTACCCGTTCACAAAATGGTGGCCTTTTTTTCACAACCTGCTGAGAGGGAGGCCACCAAATAATATGTGTATATATACGTACTATAAAAAAAACACCTATGTAGTCAGTTTGGTCTCTGCCTTTCTGCGCCAACGTCCGATTAGACATGGGACACTGTGGGCCCTGGAGTTCCCTCGCGTTCCACTGCCATGGGCAGCAGGGGAGGGGTGGGGTGGTAGGAGCAGTGGCCAGCTCCACCAGCAGGCGGCTGCCTCGTCTGAAGTCGATGATGAGTAGCTTTCTCACCAGCGCAGTTGGGCACCTACTAACCAGCCGCAGCAGCAGCCGCTCAAGGTGGACCTGGAGCAGGCCTCAACACAACAGGCGTGGGCTACTTGGACAGCACCCTGCCAACCGAGGTAGACAAATCCCCTTGACTACTGGGCAATGAAAACTGGACCTTTGGCCCCAACCTAGCTGTAATTTTGCCCTTGAAAGGCTGTCATGCCCGGCCAGTAGCGTGGCATCGGCGCGCTGTTGTATAGTTACTGCGGCAGGAGGTATTGTAACTCCGCTGAGGACACGACAGTCCACCCAAAGTTGTGGAGAGACTCAACGTTTTGTGAAAAATGAATCTAGGGCGGTGGCAGTAGTTGGGATTTCCAATAACCACCAGTTCCCTGACACAAATGACTAAATCCGCCATGAAAATCATGCCCCAACAATGTGCCTATTAGGTTCTAATGTGGTGGGTTCCATTTTGTATAGGCCTGTGCTGGAGATTCGGGTCCATGCTGCTGCATATACGCCTCGTAACTCTGCCATGGGCCCCTGTAACCGCCTCCTCATGCTGCTGCCCGGGTCCCCCAGAGTGGTCTCATGGGTCCCTGTGACGGCCTCCATTGCTGCTGTCTCCATCGCCACACTCTGCCGATGTGCCACTTTCAGGTCTCCTCTACACTGCTGTGTGTGTCTATTTAGTCAAAGGGGGCGGGCAGATTAGGGCCTCCTCATTGCTGCTGCCAGGCCCGTAATCTGCCATTGGGCCTGTACGTTTAACCGCTGCTGCCAGGGTCATTGTTTAGGGTCTGTACGGCTCAATGCTGGCTGAGGTGTAATTGCCAAGGGCTGTACGCACTATTCTGTGCGGTACAGGTCTCATGGGTTGTACGTGTTGTGTGTTACCATCGCCAACACTTTCATGTGCCATTTTCAGGTCTCCTCACACTGCTTGTGAATGTTCCATTTTTGTCATAGGGTGCTGGCAGAATAGGGCCTACCATTGCTGCTGCCCAGGCCTGTAATCTTCCATGGGCCCCCGTACCGCCTAAATCCTCATGCTGCTGTCGCAGGTACGTGTATTATGGGTTGTAGGTCCATTGCTGTGCAGGCTGTATGAATGGGCTCGTCAGCTACATGCTGCTGAGGTCCAAGTCGTCTCATGGTATCCCTGTAAACGTGCCTCCCAGTGCTGCTGTCACCATCGCCTACAACTTCTGCCATGTGCCACTTTTCTATGGTCTCCTCACACTGCTGGTGGGTTCCATTTTTGTATAGGGTGCTGTATGGCCTCCCATTGCTGCTGCCTCCACCGCCACACTGTGGCTACCACACTCTGGTTTTGCCCCGTACTGCCCCAAAATTGAGTGAAGTGTGCGTGAATCTAAGATCGACGGCCACTCATCTCCAAAAAAAAGGGGGGTCATAACTGACTGACAAGTATATTTCTCTTTCTTCCCCAGGCAGACTCCAAAGGGGCATTTAAATTAAAGTCAAGTGTTTCTGCACTAATATAAAGGCTCTCTGAAGCCTAGAAACACCCTTTTATTCGTTAAATTCGCCAAGCGAATATATTCCGCCTCGAATCAATTTATTCCTCGAATTCGCCGAATCAGCCGAAAACGAATTTTTGAATACTTCGCTCATCTCTAATCACAACGAAATGATATACTGATATTTTTTGCTTCTGTCTGCTCCTACCTCTTTTGGACAACCCTATTTCTAAAACTTTAATTTTAAACTCATGTTAAAATAGATATGAGATGTTGAGAGTTAAAATAGAATGGAAATGGGTAACCTTTTCTATATTTAAATGCTTATTTGGCTGTTCTCTTGTTAGGTAAACCAACAGATCGATATGGATCAGTGACCTGTTAGGGATACCTTACAAATTGCGGGCCACAGGTGCGATGGAGAAATTTTTACAAAAAACCTGATAAACAAGACAACAATGAAACCCCCCCTTTCCCTAAAATCTTTCCCTTGCAACAAAGAATACTGTTATTGGAGAGTTGGGGCCTTACTCTTTTAAAAGACTGCCCCACAAAGCTGGTCAATACTTCAACATGATCCAAAAAACCCCCAACTGAAAGTCGGTTGCCAAATCACAAATATATGGGGAATAG